CAAATTTTTCAGGCGGAAATTTCCGGAGGTCATGTGATATTCCGTAAATCGACGCCTAATTAAATTTCCTGATGTAATAGTATTATCAAATGTACATTAACAGCAAGTAGTAATTTGTATAATCTTGTTGATATACTAGATATAAGACTTCAAAATGAGACACAGTAGAATTATTTTTTTAAATATCACACTATGTCATTATGCATGGGAATTGCATCAGTTAGTTATGATCTTTTTTCAGAAATTGATAAACAGATAACTAAATACCTTACTCTCTATATATTGTCTACAAAACAGTTAGAAATTGCACAATGTTTATATTTTATTGTGAATCAAATAAATTTTACAAGTAATAATGATAAGTAAAATCTGATATAGATATTTAAAGTTATTTGTGTATTTAATAATATTTTTATATTTAGGATTTTATTAGTCTTGATGTGGCAAATGAATTTGTTGAGAATTTGTATAATGCTAAATAAATTTTATTGAAATTGGTAATTGCTAAAGTTGGTGAAAAAAATACTCAGGAAGTGTAAAAAATTATAAATGTATAATTCAAAAATAACAAATACTCACACTTTGTAATAGTGGTTTTCATATCTTTGTTCATGCATGTTGAATATATCTCACAGTATAATTTGTTACTATTATTTCCAAGTGATGTATTCAAAAGTCACAGGATTTCATATTCAAATGATTTTCTTGTGATGGTATACTGATGAACATAAAGACAACAATATAGTCACCAAAGTCTACTACTTCATAAATAAAGAATTTACAAAGAATCATTTGAATGAGATAATAATTCCAAATCCCTCAACTATACCCAAGTCCATAACATGTGTTCTACGTTGTGCAGCACAATGAAAACTTAAATGTGGAGAAGTGTAGAGACTGGTCTCTATTGAGTATAACAATCATAGTGAGGTGATTGCATGGTTAAAAGAATTTATTGGGAGACAAAAAGAAATAGCTACTACATCATCACAAAATTGGGATCTTCAATCAACCAATCAACACAAAGAAATAGTAGCTGGATTAGTACTTCAAGAATCTCAAACTGATGATGCAAACAAGGATAATGAACTTGGATCAATCAAAAATCCGTTAGTGTCATGAAAAAAGGAAAATCACGTGTACATATTTCATTCTTTCTTGTATATAACTCAATTATGAATAAAAAAGAAATAAAATAAATAAATGCTCAATAAAATTATAGAAGATAACATGATTATTACATTTTTTTAATGACAAATGAAAATAAAAAATTCTAAAATTTCCGGCACTATTTTCCATGATTGTTCCTGGAACAAGATGTTCCAATTAGATTTATTCTAAATTAAATATATTTGATATAATTTTAAAATTACATTTTTGTTTATTTATGTTCAAATTGCAGCATCAAAGTAAATTAGGTTTCATAAGTGGCTATATATAAAATGTTACAAATATATCATTTCAAGAATGCTTAATATTTACATAGCTGTTTAATAATAATAATAATCGTCTGATTTGATTGTCATAAATTAACCAATCATATTACGGTTTAATACCATATACGATTGGTTACTGACGTGTTCATTTCTTCACCTTTCTCAGAACGCGTCATGGATTTTTATAAAGTAAACGAAATCGAAAGCTGGATGTGCGTGAATTTAATGAAAAATTATCGTTCGAAATTGAAACTAAACGATAGGAAGCAAATTTTGCACTCTATTAAAAAAGACCTTGAAGTTGTAGGATCTTTTTCATTTGATACGGTAAAAAAAGAAAAAGCGCGAAAAATCCTCGACAACTGGAAGGTATACTCATTTAGTAGGAATAAGATTTGAATGGATTAAGTTGTTCGATCTGAACAGTTACGAACTGCGTGTTCGACTCTAAGTGCAAGTTGGGACTGCGCGTCTCCAGTTATGAACTGCGTGTTCGACGCTTAGTGCAAGCTGGGACTGCGTGTCTTACATAGAGGACCTTTTAATCCAACTTTTTTTTTTTGTTTTATATTGTTGTTTTTGTTACTGTATAATATCTTGTTTTCTAATTCTTGTATTTTATTTTGCTAAGAAATGGACTATACCGGTAAAGAACTTGAAACAAGATTGTGAACACGTCAAGATCGGGTATCTCAGGTAAAGCAGATAAATCAACCGGCAGTGGCGCGACATACAATGATAATCGCATAACTTCGGGAAAACGTTGTCGAGATGTGAATGATGAAGAGGCTAACACAAAAAAGGCGAGTTTATCAGTTCGACTGTTACCATATAGGCATGATTGAAATATCATATGTGTTGCGATCTAGTGGAATTCAACAAATGTTGATAGTCCCGATGAAAAAACACCTCGAAAATGTTCAAGCAACAAAGTGGGCGAATTAAGTGTAAGTATCTTCATCAAGGATGTGTATATCGGAATAAATTCAATCCAAAGAGTTTGGGTTTCGCTAGAATATTCTGTTCTGTTACTTTGTGCGGATGCTTGCCTTAATTAAGAAACGATGGTTTAAAAATAAATATAAATAAAATATAACATTCGCACGTTTGAATATATGACTGTTTCACAAACCTCCACTTTAGGCTTCAGATCTCCATTCCGCTTCGGTACGTATTTTATTTATTTCATTATTTAGGCTTGTTTTAATTCTTTATAATTTCATCTACAGTTACAGGAGTTGAGGTTGGAGTTGGAGCTGGAGATACATTTTTTCGTTGCATAATTTTAATATAACACTATCGTTCGGAAAAGAAATTAAAGGACAGAAAACAAATCTTGGGCTGTATTAAAAAGGACCTTCAAGAAGTGGAAGATTCTAATTCATTTGATACAATGAAGAAGTAAAAGCTCGAAATATCCTCGTCGACTGGAAGGTATATTCATTTACTAGGAAAAGGGAGTTGAATGAATTAAGTGGCTGATCTGAACAGTTATGAACTGCTCGTTCGACGCTAAGTGCAAGCTGGGACTCCTCGTCTCCAGTGATGAACTCTTCGTTCGACGCCTAGTGCAAGCTGGGACTCTTCGTCTTACAAGGACGGTCTTTTAATCCAATGTTTCTTTGTTCTATATTGTTTTTTTTGGGTAATGTTTCATTTTTCTAATCCTTGTATTTGTTTAACTAAGAAATGGACCACACCAGTAAAGAATTTGAAACTGGATTGTGAACATACCAAGATCGAGTATCTGCAAGTAAAGCAGATAAATCAACTTGCAACCGGCAGTGGCGCGACGTACAATGTAAATCGCATAACCTCAGGGAAACGTTGTCGAGATGAGAATTATGAAGAAGCTAACACAATAAAAGTGAGTTTTACGAATTTCTATTACTTACCAATGGAACCGGCACAGTATTGACTTTGTGGAAGCCCTAAAGGACATTGACATATGGTAGGAACACAATCGGAAGAAATGAAGATTAAGAGAAACAGAGAAAATACAAGATATTTGGATTTTTATTTTTGAATTAAAACTGAAAAAAAAATAACAATTAAATAAGCTCGGAAAAAGGAACAAGAAAGGAATACATACTTTTGAAACAAAAAAATTCCGTGGGTTAATTTTTTTTAATAAGTTATTAAAAAGAAAATATTCTCACCGATCGATGTTATACATACACAGGATTATTATACTATTATTTACATCAAATAATTTGCACAAAAACGAATATCTTGAATCTCGGGATTATTATTTACACTAACATTTATCTAGAGATCATGCAGGAAACAACCCATCTATATTATTATTTCATTACGGAACAAATTAATTTTTAGCTAAATATTGAGATCCCAAAAACTGGAGGTTATTTATAAGAAAATCCGAAAATTTTTATACTTATCGTTAATGAATTGATAAAAGAAACTTCGATGAAAAGTTAAATTACCAAAATACTTTTTTATTTGTAACCATTGAAAGCTTCGCTATAAAGTATAATAATCAGAAAATAATTCGATAATCAACGATTGATCTAGAAATTAAATAAAAACAAATGATCAACAAATACAACATACTGTACATTTGAAAGAAATAATATTTATTAATAATTCAATTCTATTTATATAACATTATTGATTACTCTGCCACTTTATACTCAAACAAGATGAATATTATAATAAAATATTAATGTAACAAATACATATATAAATATAAAATAAATATAATAAAAAATATAAAATAAACATAATAAATATAATAAAATGTACAAAGATATAAATACATCCAAGAAAATTTTATAATTAAGAAAAAATGAAAATATAAAAGTAGCAATAACTAAGATTATATTGTCCATCACTACCGTACCACTGAAATGCTTTCTCTTCATCTTTTGCCAATCCCATTTCTATAACAATAACCAAGATTATATTGTCCACTTCAACTGATTAATTATTTATCACTAATACTATCTCCACGACTATGTGGTTTTTTATTTAATAACATCTTTGCATCTTTACAAAGTTCTGAAATACCCCATCGATCCTCAGGATTAACCCTGCAACTTTTGATTATTATATTTGATATATCTTCTTGCGGGATCTCCTCCTTAATTTTAGTCTCAAATTCCCTACATAAGGAATTTAAATCTTCCGTATCTTTATACAAAAGTTTTTTCGTATAAAGAAAGTAAAAAATTGCTCCCACGCTAAATATATCTTGATTATGTTCAGCGTACAGAATTTCCTGATTTGGGTTGAAAAATTCCGGTGGTGCGAATCCAATCGTCAGAGCCTGTTGTTGTGATGTGGAACCATTAATAACATCATCCTTAAACTTTACATGTTCCAGGTCACAAAGCTTGATGTTTGTGTTTGTGCGTTGTTCGCAAATGATGTTTGATGGACATAAATCCGTGTGCACTACACCGTGATTGTATAGGAATTGAACTGCCCCACAAATGTTGTAAAACAGCTCCACAATGTTGTGGAGTTTACGAAAGCGGTGATAAATGTTGTCTAAACTTTCACCATAATTTTCTAATACTATAATGCCCCCTCCATCTTCACATCTTTCGAGATCCGCCCATTTTACAATATAATCTGATTTGAGGTTCCTGAGATGCTTGATTTCATTCGAGAAGGAAGAGGGATGGAAGTGTTCCTTGCAAATGTAGTCACAGTCCGTAAAAAGGTGCTTAGCTAGATAAACCCGGTTTCTGCTTGCATTTTTGTTAAAGGTTTTATGTGGTCCGGCAGATACTGGTGACACAATCACATATCTTTGACAGATAATACGTAATGAATTATCGAGTTTTTTGGACTTTGTAGATCTAATAGATTTCGATAGAGAAGAAGGACTTGTACTATTACTATAAATTGAGGGGGAATCACATCTACCATCCATTGTACTGGTTGAGGTCTGTCGAGATTGAATAGGAATTATTTCGATTGGCGGTATTCGCTGCTGCATTCGCTGCTGCATTGGCTGCTGCATTGGCTGCATTACTGGCTGCGTTATTGACGGATCTAAATCTTCATCGCTAGGTATGCTTTGTTGTTCTAAACCTAAATTCAATATCAATAAATCCATGTTTGAGAAATAGAAAAAAAAAATAAAAATATGATAAATCTTAAATAATAAAATTTATATATTAAAAAGGAAACTTATTTAAAAACTTACTTTCGGGTGTTGTGTTTGAAGGAGAGACAGGAGAGATATTTATACGATCATAATCATCGTTTTCATGGTGAAGATATTCAAGTTTATCTTTTTGAGTAAGGCTGCCGAGGTGCATGACGTTTGCTTCACTCAACTCCTATAAATGAGATTATCAATTTATTAATCTAATCTCAATTTAGTTAAAAAGTCTTCCGGAATCAAAAGAACAACATACGTGAAGATCAATAAGTACTTCTTCTGTATGTGGAAGTAATTGTAAAGGGTTTAAAAATTTATGCATCGATATTTTCAAATTAGCCGTGGCGGCTAGTGAACTTCCAGTGTAAAATGAGATTTCCGGAACTACATTATTATTATTAAAACAAATTAGGGAGATCAATTATTATTGGAAAAAGTTCTAATGGCAGTGGCAATGAATATAAATTAAGAATAATTATTAAATGAAAATTTACCAGAAACCTGACCACCATTCATGAGTTTTAACCAAAGATCCTCCTCCTGGGAGGAAAAGAAAATCCGACGACTCCCAAATTCAGTATTGGAGTAGTATACCTGCAGTAGCAGTGAAAAATTGGGAGAAGCTGCAACCGGGAGAACAATCGCATACGGGCATTCCGTATTATCAGTAGTCCTGAAATATTTTTCAGTGCTTGCCTTTTCATCCCCAAGCATCACCCGTAAATGGCCCCTATGTCCATTGAGATTTTTTCTAGTTTAAGAAAAGTTAAGAAGAGACAAATAGATTAGAATGTGAGTAATGTGAATAACTAATTTTTTAAAGATTTAGTTTGAAATTGATTTAATCAATTAATACATACATTCTAATGTTATCGATTATCATTACCCCAATTATTGTTCCACGTAATGATTCGAGTTCAATTTGTCGCATTTGTTGTCGGGGTGCTTCCACTCCGAGAAACATGAGGTATAATGTTACCTCGCCGACAATTTCTCCGCCCCGAGATAATTCCAGTTGAACTTTTAATCAAATAAATATATATACCGTTAAGAATTAATCTATTAGTTAAACAATAATGATGGCTAGTCGATAATTAGTTGATAATTAGACAATGAATAAGGGCATACCTTTTCTGCCTTTGCCTACATCATCCTGTGCCCCTCTTCTATTAAGGGCGTCCTTGAGGGTGTCTTTAGTGACACCCAAAATATTACCGACATCTTTTCCATCATAACAAGTTACCTTAAATTCTTCAGAAACTTTGGTGATAGGAAGCGTGATTGATTCGGTGTAATACGCTTTTTTTTTTTTATCTTGACCTTTTCTACTATTAATAATAATAAAAAACCAACGGAAAGCTTAAAAAATTGAATTAAAGGAGCTATCACCAATATTTATGAATTCTTACAGTCGAGCGGACTTGGTAGACCCTTCGTCATCCCCATATTGCACTGTTAAATAAATCTCTTGTTTTTGGGAGAAAAACCCAAACCGTTGGTTAATTACATTATGGTTTAAAGTACTATTATGTGTAAAACATAAAAAAACAATTAAACAAAAAAAAATAAAATAAAAATATATTTGATAAAAAGTAATATTTAGAACGGATGAAATATTTTTATTATTACCATTTAATGTTTTTCACTACTAAGATTCTAGTTTTCTCATCAATCATTAAGACTCCAAATTTATTATTATCATCCATCGTTGATAAAAGACATGATAAACTTTTTTGTTTTAATTTATATGAAAGGAAAAAAATACAAGCATAGTTACACCATTACCATTTAAAGTGCGAAAATTAATATTTGACTTTGCCGAAGAAGTGTATTGAAAAACGGGTTTTTTTTGTTTACCACACGATGCGTTGTAACAACGTTCTTCATTCTTTTTTAATTGATAATGAAGGAGCATTATCTCCATTAAGCGGATTTGTTTCACGTCACCTGCACTGAATATTCGATTTTGTCACTTAGAATCTTATTGTTTTGCTCAAATAATCATAAACTGCTCTAAAATTTATTATCCAAAGAAAAAACTGCAGAGTTCTGAATGAACCAAACATAAAAACAATAAGTGTGTTCCGCTTCTGAAGAGTATATCTAGATATCTAGAAAAAGAACTTTCTAATAAAAAATATTAAAATATATTATACTAGAATAACACAATTAACTTAGGTTGGCTGGTAGGGTTGTTAAATGGAGCGTAATGTTCTAGTACCAACCCGGGTTATGTACCACTCCGTGGGTTAAGATTTCTAGTTTTTTGTACCAACCCGGAGCAAAATATTTTATTATAACAGGGTTGCTCCATGGAGTAATAATTATAATTATACAAATAAATGTCTGCAGTATAACGTTACGCAATATTTTTAACATTTCTAACATTATACAATATAATATTTATTATTTATTTTTATAAAAATATTTATAAATTACAAAACGGAAATGATTCATCATCGTTACAACGTAATAACTTTTTATTTTAA